CATACAGGTAAAGCTGTACATCTAGCCCTGATGGCTGACCTTACAACAACACCTCATCAGTGGCGATGGTGTCTACAATTTTGTACCCCTGTCCAGTGGTCTTCCAGAAACTGTAGAAGAAATAAAAAAGAGGTGGGGTCTTTTGCTCCCAGTGCCAGATACTGGTTTGAGAAAACTGATAGATTTTCTGCCCTCATTTCTCCAACCCAATATGTTCCTCTCCTCTCTTTTCACCCCACCCTTCCCATCTCATCCCTTCCCCTCCCCTCCTCTTCTTTCTGTTAGCTGAAGGTCTGCTCCTGCCCCACCCCAGTCTATGGGGAAAGGGAAGTGAGGCAGAATTGTCTAGCCTACGGTAATGCTGCCCACCGAGACAAAAGGGGGAGCCATTTTTCTGCTGTCTGTTCTCCATCTACAGAGCCACCATTCTGTGGGGTGGAGATGGAAGAGCAGAAGATCCATTTCCCCTCCTTCTGTCCTGCTCTGCTTCTCTTGCAGCTGAAGGGGAAGAGTGGATAAAGGCCTGGGACTTCTGGTTCCTCTTCTCTGATCCCATGGATTGATCCTTCTGTGGGATCAGAGGACTGAGAGCCAAGCTCTCTTCTGCCATCAAGAATTGGCACTGAGTGGAGGCGTTCTCCAATCTGCCTTTCTCTTATACCGCTTCTCATGCAGACAAAAGCCCTATTCTACCTTGTAGCTGAAGCAGAATAGTGATTGGAGGTGCAGGCAGCACATCAGTGTCCCAGCAGATTTCCTGCTGCTCTTCCACAGGAAAACAATACTTTGATGGTCCTAGGCAGAAGGTTGCTTAACTCCTTTATTTGCTGAGAGACACATTCTGCCATGCCTAGTCCTGCTAGGAAAATGTCAGGCATGTTTTGCTGACAACTTCCTCCCTCAGAGTGTGGAAGAAGGCACAAGAGAATCAGAAAATCCTTGACCTGATATTAATCAATACAGAATATAATTTTGGGAAATAGAAGTAGCAGGAGAGGCGGGGGAAAGTGACCCTGTAACGCTAATGTTTTCAATTTTAAGGGAAAGAAAATTAAGTGTAATCAAATATATCTTGGACTAAAGCAGTGGATTGTGCATAAACTCTCAATAATAAATAATAAATACTGTAGGATCTCAGGACAGGAGCATTTAAAAAGATGCTCCGGATGGATAGGAGCTCCCAAAGAATGAGATACTCAAAGCACAATTCTAAACAATTCCTGTTGAGGGAAAATGGAGGGCAGCCAAAACCATTATAGCTGCTACCCCACCCCAGTGAATAAGAATGAACAACTAAAAACTAAAAAAAAGTCATATTCAGTAAATGGAAGGAGAGTTGAGTACATATCACACAGCAGAATTCAACATTTGCTTTTTTTCTGAAAGTGCAAAGATAATGGATTTAAGTTTCAGGAAGGCAGACTCTAGATAAATGTTAGGGGAAAAAACTTCTAAGAGAAATTTGACAATAGGACCGATGAGGTAGAGGGGTGGTGGGCTATCTTTCTTTGAAAGTATTCATAGAAACATAAAAAACTGACAGCAGAAAAAGATCCAGTGGTCCATCCAGTCTGCTCTTTCAGTTTTTTGTTTGCTTGTTTGTTTTTGTTTTATTTTAAATGTATTTATTTATTTATGACTTTTTTTATATAAAAAATAGTTCAGGCAGAGGTTACATAGATTTAGATTCCTGTTTTGGTTAGCAGGCTGGACATGATAGCTAAATGTAAAAATCTGGGAACTGTTTCCACAGTAGAACCTGTGAAAAGAATCTGAATGTTGAACACAAGATATATGTAAGCCAGCATTGTGATGCAACTGCTGAAATAACAAATGCCACCTTGGGGGTGCATATCCAGGACTGTGGAATCCAGATCATAGGGAGGATTTGTTGCACTTTAATCTGACTGGTTACCCCTTTTAGAACCACAGTTGTGTCTGGATCAGGGCACCACTGTTCAAAAAGAAGAGGGACAAAAGGGTAACCAAGTTAATGACAAGTCTGAAAATGTTATTTTGTTGTAGAACTTAGGGAAGTTCAACAATTTGAAAATCCTTGCTTTGATGGATTCTGCATAGAGCAGGGGGTTGGGCTAGATGGCCTTTAACAGATCCTTTCAAAGTTTATGATTTTATAATAGTAAGTTTCAAACTTGTGGACCATCTGCATCTTAAAGATGCCCAATTCTATAAAGTGAATTGTCTGTGACTCCTTGAGATACCCTCTCTCACACCTCTAGAGCAGTTTCCAGCAAGCTAAAGGTTCCAGATTTAGAGCTGTATTGTACAATTCCCATGAGCAGCCAATTTGGTCATTCAGCCTGTAGGATAGGAATTCTTGAAATCCCACATGCCTGGAGAGGATTAAACTAAGTAAAAAAAAACCGAGGATTATAATAGATAACACAGGCAACACTTAAATGCAAAACAAAACCCCTCCCAGATAATAGTATAAAAGAAGCAAGCTCAATCTGGACTTCCATTTTCACTTTGTGCGAGTGAAACAGAAAATATAAACACCTAAAAAAACCGAAGAATCAAAGAATCGGATATTACAGAGTTCAGTACAAACGTAAGCAGCCTTTTCCTCTGTAGCCCCAGTGGCCTAATGGATAAGGCACTGGCCTCCTAAGCCAGGGATTGTGGGTTCGAGTCCCATCTGGGGTGGAAGATACCTTTTTAGGGGGGGTGTGAGTTTTTAAATTCCTGTTTTCTTTTGCTGTGCATATTTAAATTGCTCGGTTTCCCTTCTGTTGTTACAGATATTTCTGTTGATTTCTTTGCTTCGGCTTGACAGTAACTTAACGTATAAGGCAGTTCTTCAATTGGCGGAGGGGGGGCACACTCGAAAAACGTGTCTAATATCTCATTGTTATGACACCGCAGGCTGTAAATCTGACCCTGACATCATTTAGTTACTCGCTCTAGCAGCTAGTTGAACGTATCAGTTTCGAAGTATAACTGACTAAGCTTCCGGGGCTTTATGAGATAAGGGTTTGTTGAATCTAGAGAGAAGTCATTTTCATCCGAAAAAATGGAGCTCTTTATCACCACCTAGTGGTAAGTGCGAATTACTGCAAAACTGGGGCTAAGCAACAGGCTAAAATGTTTGCAACTGGTATTAGCTCAGGGCTGAAAAATATACATGCCACTCCCTTCCCGAATTGTGTAAGTTCAAAGAATAGATGCTTAGACGCACTTTCATCACTGGATGAATTTTCCTATCAAACAATAGAAATAGGTATATTTAGTAAACGCCCTTACAAGTACATCTCGCTTGCAGCGTTTATAAAAGCTTTAAAACTCATCTGTTTTGCACACTTTTAAATGACAGCCTTTGTTCAGGGTGCTACTATGTTTACTTCTGTTTTGCTGCAATTGCTGTGGAAATGCTTCAAACTACAATTTTCTCTATTTCAGTTTTCTTTGGAGTTTCTGAAGATTCAAATTTACTGTTTTATTGCATTTTACGCTTGTATTTTGTTCAACATTCTGGCCTGCTCAAGATGATGTCTAAATATAAATCATAAAGAAGTATTTTGTCAGTATTTGCGTATAAAAATTAAATAGTAAGGAACTGCCCCATTTATCCACATCTTGCTATGAGGCATTTGTGAAAAGGAAATACATAACCTTTGCTAAGTCCAGTTGTATTAATGTATTTTCATTAATAAAAGGAAATATCAGAAGAAACCAGACAACCCATGCTTTATTGGGTCATTGTTTCAGCGATATTTCCTTACCTAACCACAGAAACAGAATGACAATGCAAGAGGGGGAAAAAATGCCACAAGCAGGCACTACTGAACACAAGCAAGTCACCAGAGGCCCTGGGCAGGGTTTACTTAATATGGATGGGCTGGCAGGGGCCACTATGGAGTTAGAGGAGGCAGGGAATGCTATGAAACGCAAAATTCCTGGGATCTCATAGCTGTAAACAGCACTTCTCAGGGGAAAAAAAACAGCAGGAGCGACTTATGTGAAAAACTTGTGACCCTTTCCTTGCCAGATTCCCATTGGCTTTTTTTGTGGGAAATTGGCAGGGAGCATTGAAAATGATGGTCATATGACTGCAGTTGACCATGGCAACGGAGCAGTGCTGAAGCAGACACAACTTTACTAAATTTCAATTTTCTTTAAGTTAGCCCGTTTGAAGTACGTCAATATAAATATTATTGCTGTTTCACCAACTGAAGGTTACAAGCAGACGAACAGGAGAGTTTTAGTAGTATATAGATGACTGACTCTTCCATTACACATAGCGGAACAAGTGTATGAGGTAGCAGGTGCTGGTTTTCTGAACTTCCTTCCTTCCTTCCTTCCTTCCTTCCTTCCTTCCTTCCTTCCTTCCTTCCTTCCTTCCTTCCTCCCTCCCTCTACTTATCTAAACAAGGAGAAGACTTGAGATCATCCACAAATGTGATAGACAATTGCTGCACTTGAAGAGACAACATGACGGCTGTCTCTGGTGGGTTTAGAATTCCTGAAATTTCTGCAGTTATTATCTGAGCATTTCTTCTACAATATTAGTATATGTTAATACAGCAGTCAAATTTTTTAGCAAAACTATACAGGTAGTTATAGACTTAGAACAGTTTTACTGATCGTTTGAAGTTACAATGGCACTGAAAAAAAGTGACTTTGACCATTTGTCACACTTAGGATCATTGCAGCATCCTGGTGATCAAAATTTGGATGCTTGGCAACTGGCCTATATTTATGCTGGTTGCAGTGTTCCAGGTTCAAGTAAGTCACCTTTTGCAACCTTCTGATAAGCAAGGTCAAGGGGGAAGCCAGATTCACTTAACAAATGGGTCACTAATTTGACAACTGCAGCGATTCACTTAAACAACTATGGCAAGAAAGGTGGGGCAAAACTCATTTAACAACTATCTCACTTAGCAACAGAAATTTTGGGCTCAATTGTGGTCGTATGTCGAGGACTACCTGTGTCTTCAGCTTCCATTATTAATATTGTAGATTCCTATTTCAAGGACAAATTTCGATGGTGTAGTTTTTATTTTATTATTAAGAACATAAGAAGTTTCTCTTTTCCATCTAGGAAATAGAACAGTCCAAGGAATATGTCCCAGCATTATTTATGTCTCCAAGATGTTCAGTCAAAGTCCACTTGTCTACTTTGCTTCAAAGAAGATCGTGCTTTTTTTTGTCGGAGGCGTTCTCTGTTCATCTTCTCCACTCTAAACCCAAACAGATGTAGAATATGACATTTTAGTGGTTGAAAATTAGACTGGATTCTTACCCTTCTTTTCCCAGAAACATTTAGCACAGTACTTTATAGCCCTTTTGCTACAACTGTCTGCCTGGGTAAGGGATGCCCTGTTTGTTAAACGATGGGAATAAGGTATAGAAATCCCACAGCCTGTACTGGCCAATCACAGAAACGTACAAGAGTGATAAAAGAGAACTAAATACTGTATGTCTACATTCCTTCAAGAAGCAGGAACTTTACAGGCATATGATAAGGGAAAATCCACCTCTCCCTTGCAAATTACAAATATAACACAAATTCATCACTACTGCAAACTTATTAAAACAATATAGCAACAATTTTCAATTAAATTAAACTTGGCCATTTATTACAGAGGCTAAGTTTGTAAAACTTTAGTGAAAATGCTATGCTGTCAAGTTTTATTGATTCTAAAAGTCCCCCAAATAGTTTAAATTCTCCTGCTCCCAGAAAGAACTACACCCATGTTTTATACAAATACAAATTACCAGAAGAAAGCAAAAGGGACTTATTTTTATGTATGATCTGGGAAAAACCTTTTACTGGCATCAGTGAAGAAGATTTTTCCAATTCAAATGGCAATTTTGGAAAAAAATGCTCCTCAAGGAACAGAAAAGTATTTACATTTCTCTCCTCTGCAATTTTTATAATGTACTTTAAAGCATCTTAAATGCAAAAATGCTTTTACTGTGGCTAGCTTTCCAAAAAGATTTTCTGAGAAACATCTTGATTTCTATCAGAAATTGTATATCTGTTCTTTACTTCAAGATTTAAAATACAAATTATTCATTAAGAGGGTTGTTTATGTCAGTATGCTAAAACCAAGCTCATAAGCTGTTAAGCCATGTTTGTTGAACAAGCTATCGTATGTGGTCCACATATAAGGCTAACATAAATCAAAGTTTATAAACTAAAAAAAGCTTTCATATTTAGTTTCATATTTCACTTTCATATTTAGTTAAAACAAGACAAGTCACAGATTTACCTTTTTCTGATCATCTCAGCAGTTTCTTCAGATACAACATGAGGTTTCAGAGTGGATTCTGCAATCATGTTCCTGATCTTTTGTAAGCAATCTGCCAAATTCCTCATCTGATAGCGACTCACTTCAGAGGTGATTATTAGCTCTCCCAATTTATTGATCTTATGTTTTTGCTGGTAAATAAAACATTTTATTATTTTATTTTTCATATTTCTAAACCACCTATCTTTCTCAAAATGAGAATGTATTTATATAATTTTCTGTTCTCTGGAAAAATAAAACAGGTTTCTATTATCAAAATACAATTTTTAAAGGCACTACATAAACCGTAGTGGTTTAAATTACATAATGTTACACAATAATGAAAGTTTTAGGTTCCCATTAAGCCAAAATCAAACAAGTCATATTAAAGGTTAAGGTAAAGTGTGAAACCAGCCACTCCCTATATTTGTGAACAAATTGTGTTTTTGTCTTAGCAACAAATAATTCATCTTCGTTTGAAAACTTGGGATTAGATCGTATTTAGAAATATTTTGGCCCCAATTTTTATTTGAAACCATTCAAAGCAGTTCTTTGACACTGGGACCTGTCCGCTAAATTATAAGAGGCCACTCATTCTTTGAAAAAAGGAAATAAAGAAGTAATACAATTTTGCATACAACCTCATATTCTTACATAATCCTGAGTTTTTGTACTAAACAATGATACAATGATACAATTATTGTTTCTAATAAACAATCATACAAAAAATATAATTGACAGAACTCTCAGCCACTGACCTAGTAAATGCCTCCTCTTTTCAGTGGTCCCTAATATCATGTCTTTTACCAGGCATTTACTGTGTTATCTGTCACAGTGTTTTATGTATATAAAGAATTTAAATCTCATAATGGAATAAAGCAATTTTTAAGATCCATCTTCCGATGTTATGTGTTATATATATATAAAAAGAATTTAAATCTCATAATGGAATAAAGCAATTTTTAAGATCCATCTTCCGATGTTATGTGTTTATGGATTTATATTTTGCTACATAACCTAAATGGATTCCTCTGGATGGTCTATATTTTTTGTGTAGGAAATTGATAAACTTAGTGTATGCTACTGAATAAGCTATCTCAAAAAGGGAAAATAAATTTCGAGAATTACCAGCACTGCCATTTTTTGTCGCACTTCTTCTGTGATCCAGTCTGCTGATGCCAAATGGAATCTGACTTCCGCTTTCGAATTCACTGGGTGTCATAAGAAGACATAAATAACCACTCTGCAGGATAAAGAGTTATGCAACTTGGAAAGGTCTACCTTTCCCTTCCAATTTATTGATAAGTGTGCTGCTCATGAATACCTGATCTTATTTATTTGTCAAATTTCTAGGCTGCCCAACTTCAAAACACGTACCTTAATTTTATTGTAGGAAGTCTCATTAATGTCAATGGGATTTGTTCCCAAGCAATATATGTATATGTAGTCAGACTTCTCTCTACTTTATCTTGTTTTTACCTTTATTAACATTCTGGCCTCCTGGGGCACTGCTCCGTGAATAGGATACAGACAAACGACCTGGAAATCCAAAAAAATGAAAGCATGAAAAAGAAGGATTAAAAAGATATCCATTTATACTTTCAATATATTTAAAAGAGAACAAGTGAACTTATATTGGCATCTGGAGAACTTTATTAAAAATAAATGGACTCTTAAAGTATAATATTGACCATTTTTAGGAACATTTTGGTGATTAGAAATAATTCTCTTGCTGAAGTTATTTTTGTTATTTTTTTCACAAGTAATTTTATTAAGAATTTTTAAAAGAAAGATTAAAAACTAATGGAAACTAATATAGATTAAATAATAGAAATAGAAAAAAAGAAAGGAAGAGTCCAAGTGTAAGAAAGTCCAAAGTAAGAAAATCCATAAGGGGTTTCCAGTCAGCAATAATCAAAGAAGTCAATTTAGCCATTTCAACAAATCCCATCATCATCACCATCAACATCATCACCATTATCAGCAGCAGCAGCAGCCATTCCTCCATTGTGGGTACAGTCACATTTTCCCATCTTTATGCATATAACACTGACACTTCTGTACAATGATCCATCCTTTCTAAAAGTATTTGATTTTCAGTATATGCCAATGTGCATTTAATAAAAAATCCATTAGGTTAAATGGTATTTATTTGGGACCAAATTTACACTTATCTATAAAGCAGATAAAATAGATAAAATGCATAAGAAAATCTCTCTAGAAAAATCAAAGCATTTTGCTTATGTTCTGGACTCACCCATAGGAATCTCTGGAATTGTCTGGCTTGCTGAATCCTGTAACATAGAGATGCAATATAGTTGAGTACTACAAATTATTACTCTTGCAAACACTTTGTAATAAATTTATCCTATTAAAAGAGAAGTAATAAAAAATAATCAATTTTTAAATAAGACCTTATGCAGAGCCTGTTTTGACTACAAACAAGCACCAGAGTTCTAAGCCACCTGTATTATTTCTTTTCTCCTATTTTTTAGTTACTTTATTTATTTCTCCCTTTACCAAATTTCAGAGTAATATATTCATGATCAGATTATATTCTATGTTAACCGCTACCAATCTGGAACTTTCAAATATGTTGGACTGTAAATAATGTAAGAGCCAGTGGAGTGGATTTTTAAAGGTATTAGATCAGAATCATGCAGACCCAAATTCAGTTCTACTATGAGCCACTTACGCTCAATCTACTTTACAAAGATATTGTTGAAAAAATAAAACTGGAAGAAGTTAATGTTGCTGTCTTATGCTATCTGCATAGCCCATGGTTAATATTGTACAACAGTTGTACAGAAGAAGATCTATGGCTTTTTAGCCAATAAACAACAATATACTTTTTTATCTCTAGCAAAGATCAGTCTATTTGAGATACCCCCTCAAATTCTTTTTAGCACAAATCCACTGCTGTTACTAGTTGCAAAAGCATTTGTATTCATTTATTTTAAAAGTGCATGAGGGCATACTACATTTGCAGAAACTCACTACCAAGAAGTAAAAGAAAGGGCTATTTATTACATTACTTCTAAACTGTGTGGTAATTAGTCAGTTCTAGGATCTACGTTTAAGTTAAACTTAAATTAAGATATAACTTTTTAACTTAAATTACTTTCACTGTTTAATTTTTCTATGTTATTTTATTGTTTTTCAGATAATTTGGTGCTGGCTTTTATATTTCCACTATAGTATATTGTTGTGCATTGCCTTAATAGAAAAATATTGAAACAAATGTAAATATAATATGCTTTGAAAAGTTTCAACAGGATGAACTAGGTTTGAAATAACTTTACTGCTAACTTTGGAAGAGGGTAAAATGTAAAAATAAAGTATTCTTTAAGTCAAATTTAATTCCTGGTGACTTCATAGGCCTTGCTGTATATAGTGAGGGGGTGTAAAGTAGGTTAGAGTAACATGAGTGAACACCACTACACATGTGAGATAACATGGATGAGATGCTGGGAGGTAGATATGTCACTACAGCATATGCATGACAACATTGCATGTGTATTATTTGAGTATCATTGTGATTTGCAGCAGATGCTGTTGGACACCTGCATTTTTCCCCGGGAATAATATGAAACGCTTTGCCATCATTCTCTTTTTGACTCCACAGTCCAGCCCTAAGATTTCCAATCACCTGATGCAATAACTGGTCAGCAAAAGTAATGACTGGTTTATGAAAGCTGATGGAATCTTAGGGAATCTTGTTTTAATTAACTTTTTCCTCTCGACATTAAAAAGTGAGCTGACTAGACATATTAGACCCAAGACTTCATGGCTCCTGTCCTTCTGTCTCTATGATTTTTGCCTCCAACAAGGCTATATCTATGGACATCTTGTCTCTATAATCTGTGGCCCAACAAGCATCTCCCTTCGGAGCTCCGAATCCCAACCTTTGCAGTGTCCGCTTCCTTTTCCTGCAGCTGATAGAGTTGGTCCAAACTGTATGCACTTCGGAATTGAGAACCGAAGGCCGGGCGACCAGAAGCTAAACCTCGAAGCGGAATTTTCCTAGATGTCTCCCAGAAGAGTAGCCACTGAACCGGCATTCGTCGCAAACAGCACAGCGCGGATACCGCCATCTTGAGATGTGGCGATCACTTCTGTAACGACTCCGGCTGAAGTCGGCTTCCTGTCACTGGCGTTCCGTGAAAATATTGTTCCGGGGTGGGGAGGTTATGGGGATCAATGAAAATACGAGTTATGCTTTTATATTTCAGTATTATTTATTTGCGTATATATATTTAAATCACACTGTTTTTGCTCAGTATTATAAGACGCTTGGCTCAGTAGAAATGCTTACGAGGAGAACTTCATGTTTGTGCTTTAAGGATTAGTTCCTAATAATGTTTACGCGTAAACATAATTCTTAGTAAAATAGCAGAAGACTGAGCTGCAAATTACATTAACATAAGAGGCTGAATATAGATCGGATTTCAGATGCCACGGGATTAAGGTTACAAAAAGATTTACAAGGGAATAAGTCCCACTGAACACAAAAATAAAAAAAAATACATTAATTAACGAGCCAGGGTAGATTTAATTTATTATATATGTGTTTCACAGAGTTGGCTGAAAACCCATAGCATCTGTTTGAATGAACTTTCATATCAAATATTTCTATTATGCAAAAATGGAAAATATTTTTAAAAGAAAATTTATCTTAATTCTTTAAAGAATTATTTTAAATTTCCTTTAAAAATAATTTTCTTTTGTGCATGAAATTTCTTATCGATACTTAGTTGCAAAATCAGAACATAAATACATACTTGTACATATGAAAATGTATTATTTTGATTTTTAGGTATTCAGTAACAAAACGAAAATCAAACTTTTAAAATTTAAGTCAGTCCTTTGCTATACTATAAGGTTGGCTTTTTGCAAGCCCCTAGGTTCCAGAACATCAGTAACTAGGACTGCTTGGAACTTCTATTATGAGGAACTTATGTTATTCGTAGAACCCTACTAAACTAATTAAGATAGAATGCCTTTTTAAAAAATTGTATGTATGTCTGTAGCAGTTTGGAAAAAAGGCTTCAACATTCACTCATGTCTTTTCCTTTCCCTGACAAGCAAGCATAAGCATACATATGTTGGCTGCAAAAATCCTGGGAATTATTATATGACAGTGAAAGAGTTAAGAGTTTTCTGTAGCTCTTCATTGATGTTTAATCAAGATATGGTGTGCCTAAAGTAGAATTACATAAGACCCATGCCCTGGTGACCTCCTGTTCAAGATTATTGCTATGCCCTCTATATGGGACTGCATTTGAGTACTTGGAAGCTGCAGTTAGTTGAGAATGAAATGATGCGAGCAGTTTTGGACATGCATATAATATCACTGCTCTGCAAGCTACACTGGCTTCCAGTGTTTTTCTAGGCACAATCCAAGGTGCTGATTATCACCTATAAAATCCTATGTGGCATAGCACAAAGTTCTTTACAGGACTTCTTGTTTCCCCTCATCTCTGCTTGCCCCACCAGATCTAGGAGGGAGGATATGCTCTGGGTTCCTTCCATCAAGCAATCTAATCTATTTGGACTCAGGAATCATGCCTTCTTTGTTAAGGTGACCAATTGTCCTCCTTTAGGGAGGACAGTTCTTCTTTTATAAGTTCTGTCCTCTCTCAAAAGATGTCCTCCTACATGTCCTCCTTTTCGATATTTGAAGACTAATCTGTAAATCTCTGTATTTGATCGATGCCAAGCCGATATGTTGCGTGTGATGTGACGTATTTGTATTTGACAGGACGATTCATCAAGGCTCGGTACAGTGCAGCGAGACACAATTATGAGACACATGCGCTCCACACAGGAGAATTGTTTTGAGAGAGTGCGCCGCGTGCAAGAGTGTGCCACGCACAAGTGGCTTTGTTTACTTCTCACCGAAACATAACACGGCACACACGCACGCATTAGGCTCACTTCTTTCTCAGTGCATATTCAATCATACACAGGTGAGCACAATAATTCACGTTTTATTAATTCATTATCTATTTAATAATTTCCAAATATGTATAATTTTATTTATAAGTTTATTCGCTTACGTTATTGTTTCAGTTTTAATAATTTTATTTATTCATAATGAATGTGTTTGCATCGTTCGTGTAGCTCTATATTTTATTTTTAATTATTATTGCAATGAATAAATTGTTTCTTTTATTTATGATATTTTTTTTCTTCAATTTATTTGTGTCCTCCTTCTCATTGTAAAAAAGTTGGTCACCTTATATTTGTGGCAGTACCTGCCTTGTGGACAGTGTCACCTGAAGATACAGATAGACCAGATTCAGTTGGTATTTTGTAAGTCATTAAAGACCTGGGCCTGGAAGTTTAGGAGAGCTCTCTAGTTATTTTTTTTTTTCTTATAAGCTGACATTTTTGTGGCATTCAATATTATAGTTTGGATTGTTTAAATTGTTGCTTTTAACTTTGCACGCCATTTTTATAAGCTGTATGGCCATATAAAATGTATTGATCCATCAATCAATTAAAATACTTTTGAAGTAATGTAGCTGTGTTATATAAATGATTTTTGTTGCTGTTACATCTTCATTTATCCAGTAATTTTGGAGCGTTAGAAACTCTGGAAGTTTGGGAGCATATGGTGAAGCGTTGACAAAAAGGTAGACACTGGAGACTTGCCTATTAATTAAAAACATTGCTATAATGAGTTTGGTTGGTCATATAACACCCATTTCTCTGAAAGTGAAGTAGACACCCAGAATGCTCTTATTACCTCAGTGGGATCTTTGTAGGATTTAAAGGCAAATAAATAAATGTAATGCTAAAGGCTATGCTTTGGTGTACAGGTTATCAGAGTTTTCCCCTCCTTTTTTCTTTTTTGCTAAAAGAATCTTTAAAAGAAATGAGATGAGCAGGAATTCTGTAGGACATCAAAGAAAATAATTAAAGGCACTGATGCTAAACTTACTATTTTGCCCACTCTTGACATAATGCTATACCAGTGATTTTCAGTAAAAGGAAATCTATTCCAATGTATTAATGAAATAATTATTTGAAGTCAGTATCATAAGACTGAACACTTTAAGATAGAAGCTAGCCAGATTTATGCAATCATGTATTAACAGTATGATTTCAGATGACGTTCTGGCTAAATAAAGGTATAGTAGGTCTCATTGAATTCAGTAGTTTCCTGCCAGGTACATTAAAATACTGATGATTTATTGTTCTTTTATATATTTCCTTTTGAATGGAGAGTTCCTAGAGTGCAAACATCACATGTGACATATACATATTTTAACATGTTTAACAGAAGATTACATTAAACCAAAAAGCTTAATGATCTATTCTATGTCATATTTTTCCAAATAAGTTTAGTCCAGTCCTACTTTACAGGAATATTATGCGGAATATGCCTATGATATAGCCTGGCTCCCTTATCTAATATCTAATGCAGCTTCTGTTTTCACCGCATCATATACTTTATTGATCAGGGATATGTAGGACATTGAGGCTTTAAATAGGGCAAAGGGGGAAAGGATTTCTGTTGTGTCCTGTAACATATTCTTCCCTCCCATTCCGTTGAACTTGTAATTTTAATTTAGCAGTATATGGTTCTAGTAGCTATATTATTAGCAATGGTGGCTTTTGGCTCCTAGAACAAAATAAGTAACAAATTTTTAAAGATAGTACAATGAGGCAGGAATTATGCTCTTGAGGACAAAAATAATTGTTACTTAAGTAGAAATACAGAACATATATGCTAAGGATTTTGGCAGCAACATTGTGAAAAAGTGACATACTGCAAAACTACTTTTGAAGCACATTTTGAATAGTCAATATTTCAGATCCCAACCAAAGTGCCCGATTTTTATTTTTATTTTTGCTGCTCTTACAGATTGCCCTACGGTAGGGAACTTGGATCTTTACTTACATGTAAATCTGTTATTTATAATTCTTGTTATTGGTCTGGTTTAATAGCAAGTAGTTTGGAATGATCAAATGCTTAAAGTCTTTCATGGTATAGGACCTGCTTATTTGAGGTATCACTTGTCTCCAATTGTTTTTGCCCATCCAGTGTATGGGCAGGGTAGATACACTCCATGTTCCATCAGTGAAGTATTTCCATTATATGGGATCAAGGAAGTGCACTTTCTATCATAGCCCCTGCGCTCTGGAACAGGATGCACAGGACACCCAGACTTCTTGGTTTCTGGAAGTCTCTTTTAAGACCTGGCTCTGGTCCCAGCCATAAGGGTAAGGTCACTACGGAGCCCATTGTCCTTTTGTTCTTAAATATTGGGAATATTTTTTAATCCAGGCATTGGTATTGTTTATATAATGTATGTACAGCTCGAATGCGTCACTTAGTGACCATTTGTTGTTACCATGTGATGAAAAGCAATTTTGTGACTAATCTTCACATTTATGATCTTTGTAAACAAAGGAAAGCTGAAGTAATGTCATAAGCAGTCAGTTTCATTTAGTGATTGCTTTACTTAATGGCCAAGTAGCTGTCCCAATTGTGTAGCTAAACAAGGAGTAGCTGTACTGGATTTATTATATGCCAGCCAGAATCATGCTGGAGTTGGGTGGCCCTGAGAAATCCAGTAAAATAAACTAGTAAATTAGAATTGGATTGTTAAACAGGACATCTTGTGGATTCCAATGTGGGAAGTCATGGATGTCATTAATTATATATGTGGGAAGGACTGTCTGCCTGAACAGACTAAAAGCACCTGCCCTCGTTCCTCCTACCTTCTTGGCCCTCCCCAGTTGTCAAGACAACCCGGTTGTCAATCAAACAGCAGCCGCTGAACACAAGAGGAGGAGAGACAAGATGGTTGCCTGGGAGTTCTGCCATCACAGGCCTTGGGAAGAAAAGTTTGCACCAACACAGCCAAAGCATGCAAGTCAAATAAAAGAGACAAACTGAAAGACAGACAGCCTTGATTAGAAGAGCAACCAAGAAAGGAACAGCTAAAAAAAACTGTGGGAAGAGATAGATCTTTTTTCCTTCCCTCAAAACTCCTAGCCATTTCCCTCAGAGGGAGTAAAGATTCAAGAGAGAAGAACTAAGAGGTCCAGCCAAAAAAAAAAAAAAAAAAAAACCAAGTAGAAAAGCTGAAAAAAAAGTCAGAAATAGACAA